GGGCTTGCACAGGGCGGGGCAGCCCTCTCTTCCTCCTTCACGATGGGAGGGGTAACGCCCGCCCTCTGCCCTCCCCAACAGGGGTTCCCCTGGGGGTTTCTGCTCCTGACTGGCCTCCTCAACCTGGGCCCGGAAGCTCTTCCGCAGGCATGCGTGTCCTCCCGCTGGGGCCCAGACCAGTGGGACTGGGGGCGGCCCCAGGACACAGAGCCTCCACGTGGGGTTCCGGCAACAGCCGGGGGCTGGCCTTGCAGGAGGGCAACGGTACCAAGGCTACTCAAGTTCCTCAGTGGCTGCGAGCTGGGCTGGTGTGGGTGGAAGGAAAGGGCTAGCTGCCATGGCGACTGCAGTGCTGATAAAGTCTGGGCATCTCTCCTCCCTTGAAACGGAAGAGGCAGAACTGAGAGCTGGGGCACAGGGCTGTCAGGGGCCCGGCGGCTCATCTCCTGTGGCCACGGGGCCAGTTCTGTGAGCCGCTGCCTGACAGAAGGCTGGACACTGATGAGGCCTCTGTTTGGTCAGGAGCAGCAATTTTTTTTTAAGGTTTTATTTGTTTTTTATTTGGTATCATAGGCTTTAATCTCAGTGGCTGGAAAATCACTTTATAGCAATTTTCAAGGAAAGGAAACAGGGACAGAGGGGCAGGGCCCCAACACTGCCAGGTCCCCTCACTGGGGACCCCTCCCCCCGTGTAGAGTCTGTCGCTATCCCGGCTGCCCACACAGCCTGATGGCCAGCGTTGCAGGAGGAGGGAGCCCTCAGCCTTGCTGGTCACACCGGCAGGATCCCGGGAAGTATGGTGGCAGTGAACCCATCACCGCACACAAGGGAGGTGTGATGGACGCGGCTGCTCAGAACCAGGCCTACTGCACTGGCCCGAGCTCCTGGCAGTGGAGTCGATGGTTGGGAGGCTGGCCTGTGGCCACTTCCCCACACGCCCTGGGGCCTGCTGAGCCCCACGCGTGCTCCTGGGACCAGCAGCAACCAGAGTCGCAGGCAGTCTCAGGCCCAGTTCCAGTCAGACCATGTTTAACAAGACCCCAGGTGAAGCACACACGAGCCTTTGAAGCACGGGCCCTCGGCAGGCACGAGAGGGCTGGCTTCGCGCGGCTTCTGGAGGCTAGAGGCACAAGCAGCCAGATAATCGGAGACCTGTTGGCAGCTCTGACACACTTGTCACTGAGAGGCCAGGACCTTGTGCCCAGTTCCTAGAACTAAGTGGCTCACAGACCAAGAGCCCTTAATGGAGGGGAGGCCAGACCCCCCTGAAAAAGAACCACCTGAACAGTCACACGTGTCCCCAGGAATGTAAGGGGCACCTGCGGGTCCGCAAGTGACTGTCCCGTGGAGAGGCCCGCCAGGCTCCTGTGGATTACGGATGACGGCCAGTTCCCGCTCACCTGAACACCTCCACTGCTGGGCACACAGGGCCCTGACCTCAGTCTGTGAGCCCACAGGTCCTGCAGGCCCTGCCTGCGGTGTTTCTGTGTCCCCAGATGGTAGAGAGGGCTGCAGCAGCCACCCCACACCGGACCCTCGACCTGTGCAAGGAGGGCTGTCCTGGAAGCCCCCAGGCCTGCCCTCCCTGCTAAACCAAAAACACCACGACGTTTCTGGGGAAGCTGCAGAGAGTCAGAAACCTGGGGAATGTGAGGAGGGTGTTCCTTCTCTCTTCTCCAAATCACCTGCCAGATGGGTGTAGAGTGCCATGATCACAGCGTAACCTGTGGCAACACCAATGAGCTGAGGTCTGGATGTGGTGGTGTCGTTGGGGACAGTCACACAGCCCGGGGGCCTGACATGCAGCTGACCCGGCAAATGATTTCTCTCCCTGTCAGGGACGACCAGCAGGCTCCCTCATGGGACAGGGACAGCGGCACACCTCTACAGTCACCTCAAGGCAACAGCTTTCCCACTGTCTTCATATGGTCCAGGGTCCCGGTTTCCTTGGTGACACTGTGCTGATCAGACAGGGGGCCGCGAGATGACCAGCACACCAGATGCATCAGTAAGACCGTGCTTGCTGCGTGGGGGTGGGTAAACCCATGGAAGTTCAGGAGCCTCCAGGGAAGCCTCGGGTCTGAGAGTCTGGGGCACGGGGGATGGTCCCCGTGAAGTGGGACCGGTCACAGTGCACCCGCTGCTCCTAAGGGGCCCAGGGCTCACGGGACTCTGGGTGTGGGGGCAGCACGTGCCATGTCTGCACCTGCTGTTCTGACCCATTTCCTGGGCTGCAGACAGCATTGTCCAGGCGCAGTGCAGGCCACCTGCCCCTGGGGTCAGTCCGGGCAGCCTGGAGCAAGGCCACTTCCTCCTCTCAAAATTCCCTGGAAAAGCAGCTCCGGGCTGGCATCTGCGCCCTGGGGCAGCTCCCGCCCCACCACCGGGCCCGAGCCGGCGCACAGAGCACTCTGTCCTGAGGCGTATATACTGGAGTCCAGGCCCGGGCGCATCTGGAGGGCGGCAGGTGCCTGCCCGGGAGGCGCTGGCTCCCCCCGGACCGCCGCCTCT